GCACGTCAAAGACTGCAAGGTCTGCAGACACCAGCACAGGGCTGCACTGCGCACCACTCCCGCCAGTCAGGTGCACGGTGCTCAAGTCCAGCGGTGGAGACGTTAGGTTCCGAGACACAGGCACGACAAAGCGCCCATCTGTGGTGCACACTGGGTGGTGCATAGTGGGAGGGTATGGGAGAGTTCGGTGAATCACGAAAGATGCCCCATGTAGCCCGTGGTGATGCAAAAAGTTCAAAAACCAGCACAGCAGGATGCAACTGTGCACCAACATAGAACCTCACAGCAAGAGCATAGTTCAGGTAAACAATTATGGAACCTCCGTTGAGTCAGCTACGTACCAGCTTCACTGTAGAAGCAGCGGCGTAGAGTGGTGTCGTAGCAGCAGCCACTCTGTGCACAGACGTCCGCGCTCGGCACACTCTGCACAGAGTTGCATGGGAAGTTCCTGCTCTGACCAGAGCACGTGGCGATCTCTAACAGCAGGAGCACAACAGGTGATCGTACAAAAAAAACCCACGTACTTAAATAAGTCATCGTTTGAGCCACGTGTCAAGTATGTGAATGAATATTACTTGGCACATGACCAAATTACTCGGGCAATGCACCCAATCTCGAAAGTGGAGCAGGGTTAGGTGTACAGCAAAGATAGGCAAAGACCGTGCTCACTGGCTGTAAAAGGCTATGGCAGTGCAGCACAGTTTGTTGCATTGCAGGTCAGTGCCACAACCTTTGCCAACGAGGAGCAGCGTGGTGAAGCATGGTCAAATTAACCCTCAAAACCCAGGGGCAGCACCAACCAGCAGTGCATTAGGAAAACGCGTTTGGATGGGGCAACTATTGCAATCAGCCATTGGGGGAAATAGCATCGGAAAAGGATTTAAACAGCAAATTTGTACAGTAAAAGCCCAGGGCATAAAACGCAGTGGCAGGAAATGCAAAAGCACCAGGAGAGATGATCTAGGTCGATTACAAAATGCAGCCGTTGACCCAGCAGACCCATTCTATAGCACCAAGTCATAGGTAGTGCAGTCTGTATGTCCGATTAGCAGAGTCAATGGTACTCACCTCCAGCCCTCGCCGATCTCAGGTTCTCAGGGCAGTCGATGGTGAAATCCCAGACGAGTCCATTTAGCCCCTGCCGCATCTCCTGCAGCTCCACCTGGACCTTCCTCCTGCCGTCCTGGTGAAATCAGCAGCCCTCAAAATCAGACTCGGGGCCAGCGCTCCAGGAAGGCTCAAACAAGTCAGTAGATTTGTTAGTGCATTCTAAATGTTTGGGTGAGGCCACGTTAATGACAAGTAAGAGTGTCAATAGGAAACCCGTCACCACCTGCCAGCCAAACTAAGATATGCAGACCACACGGGGATTGCTTTCCTGGGTCCGAAATCACTTTCCCAGGTTAACCGTTGTTATTGTACAAACGGACGCTGCCCTGCTCTATGCGTGTAATACATTTTCCATATTCACCTTGCCACAAAACCTCCATTATTCTTGCCACAAACCACAGCACTCACAAATTATCACCCTTCACACGGGCATCACGATCCCTGGGCAGATCGCGCATTAGGTGTGAACTACATATTTATTACTTCTTTTAACTTCCATGTCTTGTGCAAGTAGCCTCAATTAGTGCACATGTTTCTGGCACAAAGCTCGTATGTTGGTTAGGCCTTCCACTTACATTTTGCTGTTACACACAATACATGTTCACGTTCGCCCTGTGTGGAATATTTTTCTTACATCTACGTTGGTCTCTTAGAGGCCTTCTGTAGTAATACATAGTGCAATTTATTCTATACCTGGAATCGGAGCAGATTGATGCAAATCTTTGCATTTAATAGTATTGCGAAAGCTGCATCCATTGCCAGGCGTGAAATACAAACCGAAAGCTTGTTTTGCCGTGCTCTGTGACGTAAACAGTTAACCGTTCACATATTTCGATTTAAAGCTTTCGTTACTGCAATGATTCATCTTCTTTCGGTAAAGTCAGACTTTACCGAAAGAACCAAAGAAGACGTTCACATATTGCCTCTATCAAGGTGGCCACTTGGTGACATGGACGTCTAGATGGCAAATCTTTTACCGTTATGCACAAGAGAACAATTATGCTAGAGATAAGACTGAGATGGAGACTAGACAAAAGCAATGCAATGACGCAAGGGCATCGGCAAGAAAGGATACTTGGGAAGGGCTGGATGAGTAATGTAGTGACATGGCATACTACAGTGAACAAGAGCACAAATGAAGTGCAAACCAAGGTAAACTGATAAAGACAAGGATGGCAATAGCTTGATAACAAGACAGATGGAATGAGCATCGATAGTACAGAGATACTGGTCAAGAGAAAGATGTATAAACTAGAAATAAAGTCGCTACCACTGGAGGGATGGTTGAAATAATATCTTGTAGGAATAAAAGAGAAACCATCGGAACAACATATGCCAGTGGACGGCTTGAGCTAAATCAATTTAAATCTTGGAAATAACAAGTAAATGTGGAGGGGAAAAATACCAGTAGACAAAACAAAATTTGATTCTGGTCAGACAACTTCGGTGGCACGTGATAGCTGAACGGTTATGGATTGCGAATAAATTTCGCTAGCACCATAGCAGCCCCAGCGGCTACTAGTATCGACGCAAGTCACAACGGTCTCTTCGTGTTCACCTCCACGCGCACGTGGCAGGCATCACCAGCAGCCGTGAAGTGGAGCCCAGCACCGTCCCTCGCGATGGAGAAGCCGCACTCCCCCTGCAAAGACTCCACATCCACGGCCTCATTCCGCACCGCTGGACACATCAAGAACAAAGTTAGAAAAACCTGCGTTTGGATGGCTTGTACACCACAAGTTAATGTAGGCAGCATGACTGCAAGGAGAACAAAGCATGGTGTCAGTGTCAGCTCGAATAGGAAGTCTCCACAGTACCAGGAACGTCTCTAGGACACAGGATCCTCAATACGCTGCTGGAATTACGGTACTCCCAAACCTGCACAACGACCTCATCTAATAGTTGCTAGCAAATAAGGGTGCGTGTCAGATTTAACAAAAATATTTCCCAAGTAGTCAACAGAGAACTCGGCTGGGAAATGCAGACGATGCAAGTAGAGAACCAGTGTGACAGAAGTCACCAGGTTAAGTTTATAACGGAAGGCACCACCTTGCATGAAATGGTCCAATGAAAGTAAGGCGCATTGCACAGGCAAGCAAAAAGAGGCATTGCTTAATATGGGATTCACCTATCTAGTAAACAGTTATCCTATGGAAGAATAAGATTTGATTCTCGTCGTCTGCTGTATTAGACTAGTTGAAATTAACCCTGAAGCCAAATCATCATGCTTAGAATCCCAGATTCTTAAATGTTCCATTGTTCATATGAATTACATGTCACAACCTAAAAAGCGACACCGTATAAGAAAAACTGCAGAGGTCAGAGGGCATCGAAAACAAAGCAGTTGGGACCAAAGAAGTGCCCAGAGAATCTCAGCCCCGAATCAATTTGATAGTATCCGTGAGAAGTTTCACATATTGAGTCATCATACAATGGATCAAGATGGTTAATTATTTAATCACGATTGAAGTGAACGCTCGTGGACTCACTCCGTACGAAGACACGGTAATCGCTGTCAGAGGAGCTGCTCCATCCCACAGAGAAACCCAGAGTGGAGGAGAGGCATTGCTTCAGCAGACCTGGGGGAGGCAGTTCAGAAATGGAGACGTCAACTACACCTTATGGAGCCAAAAAAAAGATAGCCCGTGACGGTTGCTGGGTGGGTGCACATCTGTCCCTTCACTTCAGTCTGTAAGGTGTTGCGTTGTTCTATTTTGGCGCAAATTCCAAAAAGTAATGTGCACGACCCCACAGTATGAACCTCACCAGGGAACGTCAACCTGCAGCTTCGAAGCGGCAGGTTGAAATATGGCTCTTGATATTTTAGTTGTAGACCCCTGCATAAGACTTGAAATTGTAATGGAAAGTTGCCAAAGTAGAGCCTGATAGATGCAAATTATCAACGTGAGTGCACAGTTCGTTGTTACAACGGAAAGGAACAAGGCCATGATGATTTTGCCACGTGAGTGTTACGTAGTCGTGTGCAGTAAAATGTTGTACAATTTATCATTTTTAGTAAAGCTGCAAGAGCCGTGCCAATCAGTCACAAGCCATATTTTTCGAAAGCGTTATTATCGTAAGGAACGTGCAAAGGAGAGTTAATTTCCCCAAACGCCCTCCTTTCCATGCTCTGGAGGATTATTAATGATCCACGTGCCGGCTCCGGGCCCAGCAGCCATCACGTCGCGTCACGTGACTTCTGCAGTGCCAGGCGCACAACAAAAAGGCACCCCCCCCCTCCACCTGGTCCAGGCAGTCGCTCGTGGGCAACTCATGTCGCCGCTAACGGTTTTCCAGTTCAGCGAGACGATGCCATTTTATTATTGTGCACGGTGGTGTCTGTACACACGAGGTGGTATTGAGAGAACGAGCGATGTGGTGGTCATGTGGCGACAGCAGCAGCGCCCCCTACCACTCGGCTCCCCCAGCGTCCGCGATCCCAGCGACTGGCGAAGCCTCGCGAGGACGGAGCCCAGGCAGAGAAAGCTGCAGGGGAGCACAAGAAACGTGACCGCCAAGACGAGAGGCAAACACCCGCCCCTCCCCCGCCAAAAAAAATTAGGTGGCCTGTAGCGATTTTAGCGCGCACCTATTCAAGGCCAGCACGGTGCATGATGGAGTTGGTGTGAACAGCGCCACGCAAAGCCACATTTGGAACCCCTACCACCCACAACGGTTCACGCGAGACATTTCAAGACCGCACTTCCACGTGTTTATCTCAATACGTTTCTCCATGCAGGTCAGTTACCCAAAGCGATATGGAAACGCCCTCTCCTACAAACGTACACAAGACGTCATTAGCCATAGCTATTGCGGAACATTCCTGAACACCACTCAGCACAATCTTCCGCCTCCTCACCTGGTCAGGAGCAGTAGAAGAACTCGCAGCTGCGCCATCGTAACACTAATCGGCTGCGTCGCCTCCCATCGCCCAGGGCACCCTTTTTATATGGAGAGCCCTCAGCGATCCCGATCCAGATTGGATTAGATCCACCCACGCATTGTCTCATCAGCGAGATTTTATCAGAGCAGATCCACTCATTCATTGTCTCATCAGTAGAGATTTGCTCGATGTCGCCACAAGTGCATGGATGGGAGCTGCACCGCAATCACGCGGCACGTACGCAGGAGGAATTAATTGGCTCATTACTGAAACTAAATGAGCCCGCGCGCAGATAAAAGCCACGAGTCAGGACGGGAGCTGCGTTGGCTTTGCTGGTGCCGTGCTAAGTCTCGGTTTTTTGCTGTCCTTGCGATGGAGACCACAAGGGCTTTGTTCGCGGTCTTGGAGTTGTTATGTCTTGCCTCTGGTACGTGGAGTTTGGTCGAAAGATGCATTTACAAACTTGTTCTTTTGTCGTTCTATGCAACTACCGTTTTGACTGATGTGACCACCACAATATACCCGTACTAAAGCTGTTTTTTGCTAATGTGGCGTGGTGGTTATTTCACTGTTCTATATACCTGAACACCAATTTGCGTCCCGGTAATGTTAACATCGGCGACAAATGTCTAGACCTGGGCTTTGCCCTAATTCAGCCCGTACTGATCTGTATGGTCAAACTGACGACAGCAGTGTGCAAGACTTGATCCAATAGTGGATTGCCAAAACCTATTATTAGCCTGTCTTAACGCGTGTATTAAGTTACTGAGGTGCTACTGGGGAATTCGAACCCTAGTATTCGCAGCTCCGTGTGGATGATTGTGACTGCGAGTTTCTGAGACTTTCTACGGCTTCACTGACCACCTGTGTCACTGTTTGGGTAACTCTCGCGCCTCGTCCCGTGTGGCACTGCCAGCTACAGTAGCCACCTCCGCCACGGTGAGTGTGGTGTGTGACGAGGCGACGCTCACGCTGACTGTGAGCAGGGACCTGTTCGGCACGGGTCACCTGGCCCAGGCGAGTGACCTCTCTCTGGGGGTGCCAGCCTGCCCCGTCACTGGGAGCGACGCCCTTGCTGGGACGGTGACGTTCCTCTATGCACTGGAAAGCTGTGGCACCAGCCTCCAGGTAACTGGCTGCTAATGCTGTAACATAATCTTCGCAATCCAACTGCTTTATTTTTAAGCCGAGTGTAGATGCAGAATAACTACTATTCCGCATTCGAGTCAAGCCAGACTTCTTCAATAACAGCGGGGTGTATTGCTTTGAAGTCCCCTTGGTGTTTGTAGATCGGTCATTACATTGTTATGTTAAGGTCTGTTCTGGATGACCAGTCGTACATTAGAGCGTTTTTATTCTTCCATCATACATCAGGAATCTACATCTGCCATGGTTTGTGTGGCTATGGTTTTTATGGTGGGCATGAGCTATGTATTATTTAAACCAAGGAACTGCTGCATCGGGTCTTTCACCAAGATGTTTGAGCTTTTTTATTCCACTAGTATCGCACTAGGTAATAAACCCCACGTCTTCCTCCCTCCTTAGATGAGTGCAGGGCTGCTCTCTTACGAGAACTACCTCTACTACCGCCCCACGTCCAACACGGGCATTATCCGCACAAACTACGTCGCTGTGCCGGTCGTTTGCCTCTATCCCAGGCGAGTTCACCAGCAGTCTCTTGTTTAAATTTGCTTCATTTTTTAAGTCCAGCTAAACTGCTTGTAGTTCTACCACTGGCTTTAAAAACTACGTGCCGTTTCGTGTGCTTTAGCTTTGCGAGGCCTGAATTACAATAAAGCCAAAATGGCAGCGAGTTAATCCACGCATGGAAAGTCTCCCTGTACTGTGTCGTGGAGGTTTTTGGTGCCAACTTTACTGATGGGTTCACATCAAGCGGCTGTATTATGGCCTGCCTCAAACATCCTGCCTTGCAAGTGTCCACGTCTGAAGTGGTGCATGCATTGCATACTGTGTAAACTCTGGTCCCCTTAATTATACTCCATTGCATAGCATTCATTGCACCAAGTCTCTTACTTACTCTTATTTGGTCCTCGTTGGTTATAAGTCTTGCGCTTTGCGATGTTAAATATACTCTGAAAATATGGTTCTGTATATCTTCGCTTGTCTCTTTTTTGCAACATGTTAACGGCATTGCAATAATAATCTGGTCACAATTAGTGCTGTTGAGAATCACCCACCTCTGTGCCTGATCTCCTCCTGGCTGCAGGAAGGAGAACGTGTCCAGCAATGCAATCCAACACACATGGATCCCCTTCAGCAGCGCCAAGGTTATGCAGCATCAGCTGAGCTTCACGCCGAGGCTCATGACTGGTCAGTGGTGATGTGAGGATGTTGATTCCCTATTATGCATATGGCTGCTACCAGGAATCAGAAAGGGTTTTATATGCCATGAAAGTTCGCACAGACAAGGAATGTACTTTGGCAGGAAGGTGCATACATTCAACATATTGTAATCTTAAATCTAAAATAAGCAGTATCCAAGTCTAACTATAATAAAGGTACAAAGTCTAAAGTACGTAAAATTGAATACATATTGAATATAAAGTAGCTATAATATACAATCTAAAAATACAAATAGGGTAACATAGTGTAAATATGCCAAGGTGTCATTTTGTAGATAAAATGTTAGTCAGTATAAGCCCTTGGCCTTGTTGAAGAGGCCAGCAGTGGATGGGAAGAAACTGTTTTTGTGGCATGAGGTTATGGTCCTGATGGACTGCAGCCTTCTGCCGGAGGAGAGTAGCTGCAACAGAGTGTACAGGGTGAGAGGAACCGGCCACAATCTTCCTCGCTCGCCTCATGGTCCTCGGTGTGCAGGTCCTCGAGGGTTGGTAGATTGCAGGCAATCACCTCAGCAGTGTGGATGATATGCTATAGTCTGCTCTTGTCCTTGGCAGTGGCAGCAGCGTGCCAGACGGTTATGGAGGAGGTGAGGATGGATGCAATGATCGCTGTATAGAAGTGCACCATCATTGTCTTTGGCAGGTTGAATTTCTTCAGCCACCGTATGAAGTACATCCTCTGAGCTCTCTTGGTGAGGGAGCTGATATTCAGTTCCCACTTGAGGTCCCGGGAGAGAATAGTGCCCAGGCAGCGGAAGGATTCTACAGTGTTAACTGGGGAGTTGCACAGGGTGTTGGGGGTGAGGTGGGGCTGGATTCTTGCTGAAGTCCACAACCATCTCAACTGTCTTTAGAGCATTTAGCTCTAAGTTGTTCTGGCTACAACAGGTCACCAGGTTGTCAGCTTCCCACCTATAGTCAGACTCATCCCCACCAGAGATCAGCCCAATGAGGGTGGTGTCGTCCGCAAACTTCAAGAGTGTGACGGACAGATAATCGGAGGTGCAGCTTGTTGGTGTACAGGGAGAAGGGCAGTGGGGAAATGACGCAGCCCTGAGGAGTTCTGGTGCTGATGGACCTGGAGTCATACTTGTGTTCCCAGCTTAACGCACTACTTCGTGTCAGACAGGAAGTCTGTGATCCACCTGCAGGTGCAGTCGGGCACGTTCAGCTGGAAGAGCTTGTCCTGAAGTAGGGCAGGGATGATGGTGTTGAAGGCAGAGCTGAAGTCCACAAACAGGATCCTGGCGTAGGATGCTGGGGCGTCCAGATGCTGTAGGGTGAAGTGGAGGGCCATGTTAACTGCGTCGTCCAGAGGCCTGTTGGCTCTAGGCAAACTGAAGGGGGTCCAGGAGAGGGTCTGTGATGGCTTTGAGGTGTGCCAGAACCAGGTGCTCAAAAGACTTCATTACCACAGGTAAGGGCGACGGGTCTATAATCACTCAGTCCTGTTGGCTTTAGCTTTGTGGGCACAGGGATGATGGTGGAGGACTTGAGACAGGCTGGTACATGGCATGTCTTCAGGGAGGTGTTAAAGATGTTGGTGAACACCGGAGGCAGCAGGTCAGTACAGTGCCTAAGGGTGGCTGGAGAGACAGAGTCTGGCCCAGCTGCTTTGCGTGGATTCTGCCTCTTGAAAAGTCTATTAACGAGAGAGTCGTCTCTGTAGTAGGGGTGGGGGATGGGGATTTCTTGGGTGGGAAGGGGTAGTTCAGGACAGTCCAATTGTATTTCAAATCTGCAGTAGAACTCGTTCAGGTCGTTGGACAGGCGGGAGTCGTTAGTGGTGTGGGGGGCTCTGGGCTTGTAGTTGGTGATCTGCCTGAACCCTCTCCAGACAGAAGCAGAGTCGTTAGCAGAGAACTGGTGTTTTAGTCTGAGTACAGTTGTTTAGCCTCTCACCGCCTTGCTAAACCTGTTCATTGACTCCTTGAATCTGTCTCTAGCCCCACTCTTTAAACGCATCCTCCTCCAACCTCAATCTTCTGAGCTTTGCTGAGAAGGTTGAGGATGGCAATTTAGACTAAACCCTTTAAGATGTTTGCTTGGTATTGAAGTTTAAGGACCTGCGGTCCTTCAACTTTATCTGTTTAAGAATAGGTTTTCCCATTTTTTTCCTGACAACAAAACAGGTGTTAAGATGTTAAAACGCCAAACTGAAGCCTTTTACAAGCAATCATGTCTGCATGATTCCTTCTGACCACATTTTGTGGTTAATGCAGACATCATTCCTTGTAAAACGTTTCAGTTTGGTGTTTTAACATCTTGACACCTTTTTGATTTAAAGCTTTCGTGACTGCAGGGATTCATATTCTTGGTTCTTTCGGTCAAGTCGCGTAGAAGGGAAACAATAAAATAATAAAAATATAAAACAATAAAATTCTCACGACGTTTCGACTGCAACACAAGCAATCATCATCAGGTGTGAAAACCACAACAATACAATTTGAAAAAAGTGGCGGTTATTTTTAACGTAAAAATTTTTTACCGTTAAAATTAACCGCCACTTTTTTCAAATGTTCTTGTTGTGGATTTCATACTTGATGATGATTGCTTGTGTTGCAGTCGAAACGTCGTGAATTGTTTTTGTTTCCCTTCTACGTGACTTTACCGAAAGACCCAATGATATTTTAACACCTGTTGCCAAAAAAGGAACCTATTCTCATATTTTGGTACTGGCAAAAGGTCGCATGATTTAATCGGGGATTCTTCCACAAGCAGTGGCGTGAGCAAGCACTTTCCGAGCTGCGCTTTGAGTCTGCACTCGGCCTTGGCAATTGTTTTGATGTCTAATTGGTTTTTTTTATGAAGACGACTGGAGTGTGGCGTGACCTTCCACCATATACCAGCTGGGCCAGACTCTGAATGTCGAGGCGAGCGTGCAGACACTGAACCACGTTCCACTCAGGATCTTCGTGGTCAGCTGCTTTGCAACCCCGGTTCCGGACAGGAACGCGCCCCTCTGCTACCAAATAATTTCGAACTCTGGGTGAGATTTCTCTCCTAATCCCACCTGATGAATGTTTATGCTCCTTGTCGTAAAGGTGGCATTCCACTGCTTGAGCATATAACCAAGATTGACCTTGGAATGTTGCTGAATCTTCCTCTAATGGTTAAGCCTGACCAGATGTATGGTTAATATTTTTTGTCATGCGCTGTCGATCGATTCACTACTTATGAGATGTGGTCAATGTGCGTCATTGGTGACTGCTTTGGTTTGCGGGCCGCGTGGGTGGGAGGAGCACCTTAAGGGGTGGGTATGGCGCACCCTCGGTGCAGCGTTATACAGTGGAAGAGGAGTACTACATCTCCTAGCGCTGGCTTTCTGCTGGTCTGCCTTACGGTGTCTGTGCAGGTGTCTGGTGGATGGCAAAGTCTCGTATGATGCTCACCTTACTTCTGGCTTCCTGCTCCGGCAAAGTGACAACGTCCTTCGCTTCTTCATAGATTCCTTCCGCTTCCTTGCGACGTTGACCAACAATGGCGATCAGGTGATCTACTGTCATGCAGGCTTCTACAGAAACCACCTTTAGCCACGTGGTAGGCAGTGTGGTTGAGTGAGAACCCATGTTCCTCTTCTCGGGCCAGGTTTTTGTCTTCTGCCAGCTGAAGGTTGCAGATGTTGCAACATCTCCAACGACTGTCAAAAAAGCTTGCACCTACAGTCCCTCGGCTGCATACAGGTTGGTCTGCTTCCTTGCATTGCCCAACAATTTGTTTTTCAGCGTCTCCCATCCAATAGCTCAATCCATGCCTTGCATGCAATATGGTGCAGCCCACATGCATGTGTGCTTAACTAAGATCCCTGAGACCTGACTTCGGTTTCTAGCTGCAACTGATATTACAACATTTCCTGTGCAGTCCCACGGGTCTGCTCTTGTTTAGCTATATTCAGGTGGTTATTGGTCATAGCTTGCACTCGTCTTGAGTGTAGCAACAAGTGCAGAAGCCTGCATACGACGTCTGAAATTCGTTTGAACTCATTTTGAATACTCTCTGAGCCTGGTAGCCAGAGTTCAAATCTCACTCGTGGCTAATGTCAGGAGCATCAACTGAGCCTCGCCTTCATAGATTTTTCTCAAGCTGATCACTAGGGCTGGCCACAGACTGCCCCTTGATGCTACAAATACTTGCAATACTTTTCTTTGAAGGCTCTGACTATACAGGTCGGGTGATGTCATACAGTTAAACAAAACTACGCCCAGAGTTGTATTCCTGGCCACTGCTCCCATCGAGTGCGGTATTGTCGCCATCAGTCTGGTCGAGTGGTGCTGGCCAAGTGGTACACCACTGTACGTTGCTTGCCCTAAACGTTTGCTCAATCGGCACTTTCCTCATGTGAACGGATACGCGTGAGCATTGCCTGTGCAACTACAGACGTTTGTGTGCAATGCAGGTGGATCTCTGCTGATGGCTTGGACTCGGTATGCAGCTGCTGCGAGGCCACGTGCCCCAGTGGAAGAAAGCGCAGGGATGTGGCAGCAGTGACTGGTGAGTACAACCGTCGTAATCAGCCATTTAGTCTTATACAGAAGACCCTTGAATATCAAGGGAGTTACGTTCTTGGAAATTGTCAGAAAAGCCAAACTGCGACATACACTATGCAAACCTTGCCTAAATAATGGTGTTAAGTATGTGGTAATCAACAATGGAGGCATCACTATTTAAATAAGTACTGTAATGTGCCAAGTAAACTAAATAAAAATAAACATGTAAAAACATTCCTAGACAATAAATGACACGTAAATCATGTCCTTGCAATTTAAAGCTGTTTTATATGCAAGGGTGAAGTAGTAGTAGTACCATGCTAAGAACTCTGCAACCAGAATTCAATTTCTGCTTAACTCCTGCCCCAACACCAGGTGATGCTGCTCCGAACTGGTCTTGGGCCTCCCCGAGGTCGATTTAAGCCTTTTTTAAATGAATACCTGATGCAATGTGTAAAATATCGCCCCAAGTGAAACCAAGTCGGCCAAGTCCAATTCTGTCTAACGACACTTGCCACAACAGTAACGGGCTACATGGAAGGGTCTTCATTAGCAAGATGCTTGCACGGCAACGGTTGAAGTGTCACTGCCTGCCTCGCATTTGTCGCCCGCTCTGCATTTCTAGCAGCTAATGATGCAGTAATTATGGGAAAAATGTACCCATGGAAGACTGACGCAAACCCTGGTAATAGCTAAATTGGTATACAAAGCAATTGTGCATTATTGCTCAAACTATAAACCTGCAGAATTTACGGGTCTCCTGTACTACAGATTGCGTGGCATGATTTATGGGGATATCCCTGGTGGGATGACATTTTTGCAAAACGATGGTGCTTTATGAAAGGACATTAATGCAATACTTCCGTCTAAATTGAAAGCTTGCATATAAAGACTTTTAACATTAAGCTTTAACGCAAAGTACTTAACAATTCCTCCATGGAGCCGCATTAGGATGTGCCAATGCCCCCTCCTACACTCCAAATGAACGCTATTGTATCTATTCTTGAGACAAAAAAGTCTAAACTAATGAAATTATATTTTGATTTAATGCTTTCGTGAATGCAGGGATTCATTTTCTTGGTTCTTTCAGTAAAGTCACAAAGACGGGAAACAATAAAATAATGAAACAATAAAATTCTCACGACGTTTCGACTGCAACACAAGCAATCGTCATCAGGTGTGAAACCACACCTGATGATGATTGCTCATGTTGCTGTCGAAACGTCGTGAGAATTTTATTGTTTTATATTTGTATTTTATTCCTTCCATTCTACGTGACTTTATCGAAAGAACTAATGAAATTATGCCTATTTATTAAGGTTAGGCTTGGCTGCTGCATTGTATGTGTAGAGGTGTTAACTACGCGCTGTTGCGTAACCTGCATTGCCACCAGGGCAGTGCAGCATTACCCCTGGGTACAACGATTGGGGTCAGTCGAGGTGAAACGGATCGTGGCCAGTGTTTGGTGCGAACCAATCAGACGGTTCCACGTGGGAATGTATGATTGGTTCTACCTGGCCACGAAGGGGTATAAGACGGGTGACCCAACGGACCTCGGAGTTCTCTCCCTGCACGAAGATAGAAGATTGGGCTGAAGCCTAGCTAGGACCCTGGACCAGCCTTCCAGCCCTTTTAAGGGCTAAAGCTCGGCATACCCAGTGGTCAGGACCCACCGGGCCAGCGGTGGGTCAGATAGCCTCCCCTAGGTCCTAGCCGGAGGACTAGGATAGTGGTAGACGTGCGAGTCCCGCCAGGTCCGGAGGCTGTACCTCCTTAGGTATCAAGGAGGTTGGCGGTAGACGTGCGAGTCCCGCCAGGTCTGGAGGCTGTACCTCCCTAGGGTATCGGGTGAGGGGACCGAATATCCCTCTGTGTGTTAAGCGTTGTATAAGGAAATAATATAATAAACAGAGTGCCTCCTAAAGAAGTCTGCTCGTCCTTACAACACTACATATGTATTACCAATCTTGATAATACAATGATTCTCCCTTTAACTGCTTATGTTTTAGTGTAATTCTGTCAGGTCCCAGAATTCAGATTTCACCACAGGATAATTCGATTATTATGCATGCACTTACAAACCACTCGCTCTCGTGTGCTAAGAAACCTTAATATATAAAAACTCTAATATGCGAGCAGACTTATCAGAATTGTCAATACGGTACTCCAGAAGATGTACTACTCGTCTGTACAATTAACCCTCAATGGTTATGTTTGTTAAAACCTGAGCAACAGAACAATTGGCCAACTCCTCACAGCAGCGCGACAATAGTAAATGTCTAACAATGACTATTCATAGGGAACGTGCTAAAGAATATGCCCAAGGGCAAAAGTAAACGTAAATGAATTCATTGGTAAGATTATGCACTTAACCAAATGCCCTGAAACAATAGTGTGTGTGCCTGTTTGACTAACAGATGCTTATCAATTGGCTAATGGGGCATCAATGAATTCGCGGGCAAGAGTCTGCTCAAAATAAGAATCTCAACACCATAGTATTCCAATGAGTGTAGATTCGTAATATAGATGCTTATCAATGTTTAGTGTGACTTAATTCATTGGTAAGCTTATGGAGTTAATGAAACGAATGACTCGAATACTTCTAAACGACCATATTTGTGTAACACGCGACAGAACAATGCTCATCACGATTGGATAATACTTGACGTACCACCTTGGGATGGCAACCCTTTTTGAAACGCGTAACTTTTTGTAACAATCACAGACACAGGAACACACACACGAACGCACACACACAGACCACGCCCCCCCCCCTTCACTGCGCAGAGTGTAATTATTTTTTAATATAACGGCTTTCAAAAAGTTCAGTCGAGACGGCTCAATGGCAAGAAGTCAGTCCAGCAGTCAAGCAGTCGCATGGAATGGCTGGCTCCGAGCCTCGCTGAGTAGCGAGGATCGCCGAGTCGCGATGTATCAACGAAAGTGAGTCCAGGCAGGGAACAAAGTATCACTTGAAACTTTATTCCAACATCAAGTGCCAGCCATACAGCAGCGGAAAGAGCCTGTATCTGCCAGCACGAGCAGCCAAGCCGACGCCTCGAACGAGAACATACAGCAGTGGAGAGAGCCTGCTTACAGCACCGATAAGCAAGTGCGTGCGACTTGAGTCGTACAACAGTGGAGGAAACCTGCTGTCAGCGAACCAGCACGGGCGCGTTCGCGCAGCTCAACAGAGAGAGCACGTGCGACTCAAGTCACTCAACAGAAGAAAAAGCTTGGCCAGCCGCCAACAAAGTGTCAGCATCTCCACAGAGAGAGAGCGTGCGACGTGGCTCGAATCGGCAGCGGAAAGAGCACGCGCCGGCGCAGCTCATCCAGCAGTGGAGAGAACTGTCAGCGAACCAGCATGGGCGCGTTCGCGCATCTTCAAGGAGAGGGAGCGCGCGCCATCAGCACCAGCGCTGAGAGGGCAGCGGGCCCGCACTCGACACCCATCATCGTGCGACGACGGCGAGCGTCGTGCTGACTCATCCAGCCAGCAGTGGACAAACTGTGGCAGCCTGTTCGTATGCCCCACCCCTCCCCCACACCCCCCCCCCTCACTCCCCCACCGGTACACAACGCACAAACATTGTTTTTTTTTTTACAAGGAATGTCAACCTAGGCGTTTGCTTAACGCAAGAAATCAACAACACTCATATGAAAACATACAAGAAGACTCATGATAAATGTGTCAACTATTAGCTGATAAGGATATCAAAGGGAAACATCGCCACCCATTGAGTTACGTTGATAAGGTCAAATTAGAAGTATTTGAGTCATTATTTTTTTCTCTCTGCATAATCTTGCTGGTATCAATGAATTAAATGACGGATCTATGAACGCATATTTGTGCCTTTAGAAATAATAACGGTTTGAGTGTCTTTTCAGATGTCATTGAGTTGCATAATAATCAATCGTCCTACTGGTTAACAACATGACAATTTGCATTAAGGGTCGCTTATTATCAATGACCGAGTGCCTTGTTGTGTAACAATTCAAGCATACGAATTTACGTATGATAAAGTACAGGTTTTTGTAGAATAGTTTGCATGTTTTAATCTCTCTCAACAACCAATCAATTGCGTTACGCGTCGGGAATTAACCACAGGTGCCGTTATCAAAGTGAAACAACGCAATCGTAATGGTCACCGTGTTAATGCTGTGTTGAAATTCTGAGATCGAGAGTTTTCATATTATCCGAAAATGTAAGTTTACCTATAAAATAAAATTGATTAAAGCAGGAAGGTTGAGTGATTCTTTCCGCGATTCTGCATGAGATTGTTCTGCGAATGAGATCTGAACCTTGAGGGGACCTATCATAAGCACACTTATCACTAATCCATAACCCACACAATCAATAAACGTTAAATCGAAGATAATCGTATCCTTATTAATAATACGGAATTAAATAACAAGTCGAGTTAGCTCTCATTCACGCTCACAATACCTGCACAACTGCATACGATTAATTGCGTTCCAATTAATAACCAACCTTTTACCGAGGCTGGACCTAATTATCATAACGACCTGCATGATCATAACCACGCCCACTCGCATAAATTAATATGATTTATTCTCGAATTTGCATAATTTACGCGCATAATTACACAAATTAACATATTTTTGGATAAATTATGTAACTTTTAAATTTCATTTGATTTTCATTGTCATCAAATTTTCATAACCTACATATACAACACTGGCCACGCTGGACGATGACACCCTCGCCGCCTTTATCACAGTCTCTCCAGCCGATCAGGCTACGCTGCAGGAATCCCTCCACCAGATGCAGCCGATTTTTGGACCGCCATCAGACTCCCGCCACCGCTTCGACACCCACATTGACACAGGTGACGCCGCTCCAATCCACCAGAATCCGTTCTGCTTAAGCCCAGCCGAGAAGGAGCACGTACGGATAGCCGTTAATGACATGCTGGCCGCCGATATTATCTCGCCTTCCACCAGTCTATGGGGGGTGCCAATTGTTCTTGTAAAAAAGCATGACAGTAGCCTTCGCTTCTGCGTAGATTTCCAGCAGCTTAATAAAGTCTCGGTGGCAGATGCTTATCCGCTCCCCCGCATGGATTAATTGCACGACGCCCTGGCGGGTGCACGCTACTTTTCGACCTAAAAAACCTTTTGTCCGGTTTTTGGCAATTGCTGCTCGATGATGAATCAAAACCAAAGATGGCCTTTCGCACTCCGCAAGGCCTCCGAGTTTAATCCAGCGCCTGTTGGAGCTGGTCCTCGCTGGGCTCCAGTGGGATTCCTGCCTGATTTACCTCGATGTCATCGTTTTCAGCCAAGCTTTTGATGAGCATCTCGAACAGTTGAGGGTGGTCTTTCTCAAGATGCGAG